GGGGGGGGGGAATGTTGCCCCCTAACAGCAAAAGGTTAAGTAAGAGAAATGCATGCTTGAAGAGGGAATTCTCCAATCACAAATACACAGAGGTCCTTAGCACTGTCCATTCTGAATTTTCAAGAAAAAGAAAGGTAATCCAGGGTGGACAGCTGGAGTTACTTAGGAGTTGAGGCAGGCAGAATTCTGGCTCGAGAAGTCAGACATAGAAGCCCCATTGTTGGGACAGGATCATCAAATTATGTGGACAGCAATGTGGGGGAAGGAAGCTGTGGTCAGCTCACTTCATATGCCCAGTCTATGCCCAGGACGTGACATTGTTTATCAGCTCAGGATGGATCAGAGTAACTGGATGGTGAAAACTATCCAAAGGGTTGGTAGGGGAGCTAGGGTGCCCTTGAGGTGGAGAGATAGGCCCAGCCATGAGGATCCGATAAAAGCAGAGGATACACAAGTGAGGAAGCCTGAGAGATGTGAGGATTAGGTGGGAGACAGCTGTGGTGCAATGAAGGCAACCTGGGCATAACAGAGGAGTCATTCATTCATCCATTCAGCAGTCAAGTATTCAGTATCCATGCTCTTCTATGCACTGATTCAGGGCTTGGCGATGGAGTGGTGCCTGATACACGTAGAGTCCCTTCTTTGATTTGGTTTAGATCCACTGGGGGAGGGAGATAATAAACAAGTATTTATACATTATCACATGTAAAATCAGTCTAGGAATACATGAATAATTCTCTTTGTAATAAGTTCCAATAATATAGAGCTAAAAGTGAAAAAAACCCTTTACTTAATCCCCACTTTCTCCCTTCTCCTTTCTCCCCTCAAGGAACCACTGTCAACAACTTGATGTGCACCTGTCAATCATTTTTTATACATTTATATATGTGTACATCATATATAAGGAACTGAAATTCCAACACAATATTTTGGAGATCTTTCCATGTTGTACATACAGATTTACCCCATTCCTTTTGTGGGCTGCATTATATTTCACCGGATAGATGAGCCTCCGTTTATTTATTAATTTCCTTAACAACATCTGGAATGTTTCCTTTTTGTTGTTGTTTAATTATAATTGTAAATACTATGAAAGGGGAAGTATAAGGACCTATAATGGATTGGGGTGGGTGCTTATTCAGTCTAAGGGATCAGGGATTTCTCTAAAGAAATGAGTTGCAAGCTAAGCCTTTATATAAGATGATTAGAAATTAAATGGGTTACAGAGCAGGTGGAATGAGGCATCTGAGGAGGTTGAGGAACATTCCAGGCAGAAGAAAGAGAATGCACAAAAGTCTTGGCTCAGTTTGAGAAATTGAGAGGCTGCTGTGGTTAAAATGAAGAAAGCAAGAGGAAGAGAAGTCTGACCTGAGACTGGTGAGGTCGACAGGGGCAAAATCCTTAGAGGCTATGGTAAAGATTTTGGTGTAAGAGCAGTGGAAACCCTTTAAAATGGGGGCAGGGCTGTGTACAGCAAGTGATTTCTATAGTCTAGGTGATTGATGACAGTAGCTTGGACTACAGTGGTAGAGATGGAGGGTAGTGGACACTCCTAAGAGATATCTAGGATGGGAAAACCCTAAAGCTTGTTGAGCATGGTAATGTGGGGAATCGTCAAGAACTGCTGCTCTGTGGGCCTGCCTGGTCGGGAGTTAGGAAACACTGCGAGATCCAGGTTTGGCCTTAAAAAGTATGAAGTTAATTGAAGACCTATGTGTCTGCATTACTATGGGTCATCTAGAGTAGATGTCAAGTTGGAAATAATATATATCCACAGTCCTTCGTCTGCAATTATGAAATCCACAAAGACATGAAAATTCCATTTTTTCAGAAGCTTGACACCAAAGCTCATTTGGCAACAAAATCTCACGTGTACCAGGGAGATTAGGTAATAAGCAGTATATGTATAGGTGTTCATATTATCTTTCTAAAATCAATAAAAATTTGGAAACCTCTTTGACATAGCCATACACAAGTGTCATTTAGCACTTACCATGCACCAGATACTGTTCTAGCCTCTTGTACATATGAACTCATTTAATCCTCAGAACAACCTTGTGAGGTACAGGTATTAGGATTATCCCCATTTTAAGAGGAAACTGAGTCACAACATCAGGAGCTTGCTCAAGGTCACCCAGCTAATGAGTGGTAAAGCTAGGATTTGAAACTGGGCGGTCTGCCCACAAAGTTCATGCCCTGAACCACTACATTACACTGCCTCTCGTAGTCAGTTAAGAGTTCAAAGGAGTATAATGTACCAAAAAATGTGCATACCATAAAGTTATAGAGAGAGATTTTAGCAAGCCATGAGAACTCCAACATTTGAAGTTTGAGTAGAAGATGATGAACTGGCCCAGGAAACTAAGAGGAAGCAGCGAGAAAGGATAGGAAAATCAGGAGTGTGGGGTCATGGAAGCCAATAAAAAGGCAGCTTTGAGAAAGTAGTCAGTAGTGTCAAGTGCTACTAATAGGTTGAGTCCTGGCTCTACTGTTTGCTAACAGTTAGTAACCTCTTTGAGCTTAAATCTTAACCTGTGAGATGGGGAGATATAAATTACTGTGAGGAATGCTTGTAATACTGTTGGGGGAAGGGAGTCTTCATGGGGTCAAATGTTTATTCGTATCCTCCGCTCTCTTCGGCCATGTGGCAATATCAAGTCCTGTCTTCCTCTCTCCAAACGGCACCCCCCATTAGGCTCTGGCGTTACGACGTATTCTGTACACCCTGGCACAGTCAACTCTGAATTGGTTCGGCACTCACCTTTCATGAAGTGGATGTGGTGGCTTTTCTCCTTCTTCATCAAGACCCCTAAACAGGGAGCCCAGACCAGCCTGTACTGTGCCATAACGGAAGGTCTTGAGATTCTAAATGGGCATCATTTCAGGTATGAATATATCTGTTTTTGAAGACGGGGTTTCATTGCTCAAAGGAAATAATTTGGATTTGTACTCTTCTTATAAAGTACATTGTGCAACATAGCTTTTTTTGTTGTTGTTTTTTAAACAACATCTTTTGCATTTTTTTTTAAGTTTATTTATTTATTTTTTTGAGAGAGCTAGAAAGAGAGATAGAGATCAAGTGGAGGAGAGGCAGGGGGGTGGGGAGGCAGAGAATCCCAAGCAGGCTCCATACTGTCAGCGCAGAGCCCAATGTGGGGCTCAAACTCACAAACCATGAGATCATGACCTGAGCTAAAACCAAGAGTCAGATGCTTAACCAACTGAGCCACCCAGGCACCCCTCTCTTCTTTTTTTAATGTTTATTTTTGAG